GTATTATCTATTTTCACCTGTCAGTTTGTAGTGGCATGGAATAGAGGAATTATTTTTGCAGCTGTGGGCCAAGCCAGATTTCTGGAAGAGCATCATCCCTTGTTCTGCATGCAAGCCTTTGAGAGAGAGCTCGAGAAGCAAGCCGGAGAAAAGGCTGCCAACTTTCCAGTACCACAGGAAGAGCCCCAAGCCATTTCTTCCTTTTAAGCAACAGCTGCTGATACAGTCACCAGTCACTGCAGGGCCTTCCATTTTACCAGGGGACTTAATGATGGCCCTCTCCCTGGCTGTGTGGGCTCAGCAACACACCTAAAGAAAGGGCTGTGTTGAGGGACTGGAGCTGACCTAGTGCCCTGGAAGCACAAGTTTGCAAAAAAACCCCACCAAAACAAAAAAAGACACAAGCCTGACAGCAGCTCTGCAAATCAGAAACTGGTACTATCCTGTTAATTACAGTGTGTTTGTGCAGCCATGTAACACGGTCCCAAACCAATCCTGAGCAGGGTTGGCTTTTGTAGTCATTAAAAACACAGTGCCAAAAAACAAAATAAAAAGTTATATTTATAGTTGCAATATCAAAATCTAACTTTATATCCTTACGTTACGGTGACTTAGCATTTGCGGTACAGCATACTTCAGTCAAGAGCAGTTGATTCTAGGGAGGAACACGGAAGCTGATTTAAAATAATTTCTCTCCTCAGTAACTGTGTTGTCTTGCATCGCTGAGCTGCGGGTTTGTTTAAAATAGGGCATGTCTGTTTTACAAAAGGGTCTTACTCATTCCCTGACAGCTGATAAGAAGCAAAGGCTGCGCTTGGTAAAGGAAAGCTTCTATTAAAAACGTCTGCTGGAACTTTGCAATGATTACGGAAAGCTGTCAGTATAAAGTGGCATTTTTAACGAGTGCTGAGATAGAAAACCTTTACAGTTCTGTACTTTATAAATAGTATTACTAGAAAAAATGGCTCTGAGTTTTAAAATTTATTATGCTTGCTTGATTGTAAATTTGAACTATCTATTCTTACCTGGCATTAAACTGCAGAATTTCCTCTCTGTGTGTGATACCTTCTGAAATAGGCACCTTCTCATCTCCCTTTGTCAAATGATGTTACCCTCCTGGACACAGCTTTGCCTAATATCAGACTCATCTGTGCACTTACAGTAGTAAATCTGCTGAAAGAATTTAGAGCTGATTTACGAAGTTTCTTTCAGTGTTTGGTTTGCGCTGGCCCCACTCTCTTTCTTACGACTGTGAAAAGTCTGAGGAGACTCTAAGGTGTTTGCTCCCTGCACTGCTGGGTGCTATGGCTACTTTCAAGGAGGGAGCAGGATTCCCTCCATTGCTAGGAATTTTGTAAGTAGAGATGAAGCCGTGACCGGACCGGAAACAACACGTGCAGGCCCATGAAGCCTATCCCCTGGTAAAACAGGTAAGCACCAGTGACCCGGGGCACACAGAACAGCCGTCCTCCTGGGGTTTGTGCTGGAAGAAGCATTCCAAATGACTCAGCATTTCTACAACTCCCACTTGCCCTCTGGCTCAAAGGCGGCTCTGAACAATTGTTTCTCAGCAGCAAAGCACAAGGCTTTCCCAAGCCAAGCAGCACTGAGCACGCTACCACAGCCACCCAAGTTCCTCTCATCTACCACCCCTACTCAGCCAGGCTGCAGGTATCCGAACTGGGGGGGGTTGGGGGGGTGGGTAGCATACTGCCACTCCTTTGCTGCCACCACTTACAGACAGGATTTTGACACCCACATCTAAAATCTAGGCAGGCTACCACGACAAACCTGATTACAGGTAAAACTTATTAAACAATGTGGTAGGTTGGCCTTGGCTGGCTGCCAGACCCCTACCCAGCCCAGCAGGTGGGGGGGGCCAGGGGTTCATAAACTACTGTGCTCTGTACCCCGCTACTAGCATAGCAAAGCTGTTTGCCTGCTGCTGGCTTGCCAGCTGGCTTGCCAGGATGGACCTGTTATCAAAAAAGAAAACAACCTTCACAGCTTATCTTTCTCCTCACACAGTGTAGGAGTGAGCAAGAGATTAGTACACTGTTCCTGCTCAGTTTCTTGTTTTATGTAGCCAAGAGCTACCCCCCTCACCCAGCAAAGAGGTTCAATATCAATCTTTGTCTAAAGCTTAGAGAAAACGCAAACGACTCTTTAATCTGTTCGTTTCCCAATGCAACCCAAACACCTGTGGAAGGCCTCCACTACTTAAAGATGCTGCTGTTAAGAGAGTTGCCAAGAACTCAGAAACGTAGTGCAACATGGTGCTTTTAGTACTCAGAGAGAGAAAACCATTACAAGGAACATAGTGGTTTGAATACTTGTTTATTTACTACGCACAAGAAAGTTACCACTGCAGTTTCAAAAGTGGGAAACATGGTAACTTTTCTTTTTCATGTGTTAATGGAGAAATAACAGAAGACAAAGTAATAAAACCAGCCATTTTATTCCAGTTATTTTACTTGCACACATTCATGCACACGCACACTTACGCATCCCCTCCAAGAATTAAGTTAAAGGCTTTAAAAATATTGCTAGCCATCAAAAGTGTTATTAAAAATATCTCAACTTTTTGCATGAAAAGAAATGTTTATTTCAATTTTCTGGGAAAAGATTGACATGACTAGCTATTCCAGTTCATCACTGAAATGCTGGTTATGTTCAGCAGAAGAAAGGCATACTGCCGATATTCTCATTTGCCATGAACATGATTTTTGTTTTGGCAGAAAAAAATCGTATTCACAGGTGTGAAAGCTTTCATACGTAATGTTATCCTCCTCAGTGAATGTGGTATTTGCTGACAGGATAATTTTCTGACATAAGATTTATCATGTATGTTCTATTACAAATCTTTTAAAAGAATACAGCCAACTTGCTTTTCCATATCCTGTGTTTTACCAGGCTTAACCACAAATAGGAGTATTTTCCTTTAGATATCACGCTGCTAGTTTTACAGTTCAGATAAAAAGGAGTTCTGCACAGCCTTACTCCAGCTAATCATGGCTAAGCTCCTGGTTCGCAGTGCTGAAGTAATACAGAGTTACCCAGTGTATACCTATCAATCATCATCCGATGAATTAAAAAGAAGTGCTTCTAGAATACAGGTAGAGACGAGCTTTTTTTGGTCCTAGACAAAGTATATCTTAAGGCCTTCGCAATATGCTATAGCTAACAAGTACTCATTTAGGAGCATTAAAGCTGTGATAATCTGTCTATGCATCAGCAACTTTGATCTTAAGAAATACTTGACAGTTCAACATTTTTTTTATTATCTGCATACATGTATGCTGACTGCTCAACACTATTAACATCTTTTGCTGGTGTCATGGTTTAACCCCAGCCAGCACCTCAGCACCACGCAGCCACTTGCTCACTCCCCCCACACTGGGGTGAGGGAGAGAATCAGAAGAGAAAACTCATGGCTTGAGATAAAGACAGTTTAATAGGGAGAGCAAAAGCCACACACGCAAGCAAAGCAAAACAAGGAATTCATTCACTGCTTCCCATGGGCAGGCAGGTGCTCAGCCATCCCCAGGAAAGCAGGGCTCCATCATGCGTAATGGTGACTTGGGAAGACAAACGCCATCACTCTGAACGTCCCCTCCTTCCTCCTTCTTCCCCACCTTTATATGCTGTCATACGGTGTGGGATATCCCTTTCATCAGTTGGGGTCAGCTATCCTGGCCGTGCCCCCTTCCCAACTCTTTGTGCACCCCCAGCCTCCTCACTGGTGGGGTGAGGAGCAGAGAAGGCCTTGACTCTGCATAAGCCCTGCTCAACAGGAACTAAACCATCCCTGTATTATCAATGCTGTTTTCAGCGCGAATCCAAAACATAGCCCCATACCAGCTACTATGAAGAAAATTAACTCCACCCCAGCCAAAACCAGCACAGACAATTATATATTCAACTTAATCTTCAGATTTTTAAAGGTTTCAGCTCTGTGGCTGAAGACCACTCCCCAGGTAAGCACATTATTCCTGCAAGGCAGTCCAAAGACACCTTGATTACAGAGGTGTACCAGTGTATCTCCTGCAATCAAAGGGGTCATACACCTAATGAGAGGCAGTCACTCACTGCCCTTCCCAACAGCTGTAAGAGAAACCATAAAGTTACTCCACAGGAATAGGGTACTGCTAATCAAGCAGCACAAGCAGTGTATTTCACTCCTAAGTACGATATTCTTAAATGACAGGGTGAGTTGCCTCCTCTTCTTCCCACCCTGGCACCTGCCAGCACTCTCTCATTTGTACGTACAGTGGAAGTCACAAAAAACTTGTGTTCTCACAGACCTAAAATACAGCATTTATTTGCTGGAGTAAGTCAGTCAACTGAGTATCACAAGCACCAAGCAACCCTTGCTATCCCTTCATGTCTGTGGTACTTGTATAAATGAGAAAATGAACAAGTGAAAATAAGTCCCTGCTCCTTTTCAACAAGCAAGCTTAATTTTTGAGGCTTTGTTGGTGAAAATTAAGTAGGGACAAACACCAGTGCTGCTCAGAATATATGCAATGAGTTGAGCACAGAGACAAAGATTGCACAGTCTCATTAACAAACACTTGAATGTCTACTGTGACAGGAGAGAGATTATTTAAAAAAGCAGGTTTTATCAAATTTTGAGTTAAGATACAAACAGGTTGAAGGAGACAGCCTCTGACCAATGAGCACATGTAAAGATCTACCCTGAAACAATTATAACTAAATATTGTTTAAACTTGGCAGTCATAGCCAATCCTTACGTTATGCCCATCAGTGAATTCACCTAATACATTTATAAAAGTCTCTAGTCATGCAGGGAAACACAATACCTGCTAAAGAATAGCAGGTATCATAAGCTTTTTACCCCTCGTTTCCTATTGCACAGAAAGGATAGAGAAGAAATGTTTCTGAACATTCTGAACCTACCCAATTACACAACTTCTAAAAATCACTTTTTCTCTCTTAAGCCAATACTAAAAAAATGTTTATACCAGCTAAACATAATGATGACAGGTTTTGCTGCTATAGCATTTTTGCCAGTGCCTGGTCAACGTATTCTATGACGTACTCTGGATAAATCTGGTGCTTCTCAAAGATGACAAAGATAGAAGGGTTTGAAGAGCTATTCACACAACTGTCGTAGAAGTTTTGGTTGTCCTTCAAGGGAGGCCGAACGTAAGAAGAACTACCAAGAGTGAACTCCCCCACCAGCACCCGTGCCAGAAACATGGACTTGATGTATGAGTCTTCCCTGCAGTAGTTGTCAGAATAAGATGCATCCCTTGCAAAATAGCTTCCTGCAGAAGAGACACCATGACAGAGTTGGTAAGACACCAAAATTGCAGGGAAGGAAGTGTGAAAGTGAATTTATAAGCAAATCCATTAAGCAGTTTATGAATGGCCTTTCCAAAGCCTTCACTTGTCCTGCAAGCCCTTCTTAGTGAAAATGACCACTATGCATTTCCTACACTTTTATTTTTCAGAGTACACATATTAAAAAGCCACATAAGTAATGTTTTAAATGTTAGTATACTCCTCAAAAAGATTTCCTGCTGTCCCTAGACATGACATCCACCTTCCCCAATCTCACTCAAATTCCCTTCCTGACAGAGGCTACTAATATTCATCAGAACATTTCTGAGAGTATTCCATCAGACGAGTGGGTAGTCAGTCAGTTATCCTGTCTCTTGGCTCTTCCACCTGGCATGTTGATCCTTTCCTGCACACAGGACAACGTAAAGGAATATTATTTTCTAATACAGCAAAAAACCTGTAACCAGGATGGCATTTACGTTCCTGGAAAAAAAAAAAAAAATCAAATAATGCCTTCCTGTAGGAGCTCGAAGAAACTGGAACAAAAATAAGCCTGGACTCCAGGAGAAACTGTCCCTAGAACTAGCCACTCCTAAGCTTGTCTTTTCTTTTACGACAGAGCAGAGCATAGAGGCCAAGGCCTTTCAGTATGCCTTAGCTCCAAATGATCATGGCCAAAGTAATATATGTTGTCTACATCGTCCCAAAGATAAGCGCTAGATTGGCTGAGCACTCTCTTTCTAACTTTACACCTCTGCACTTACTGAGAATTTTTTAGCAAGTATAGGGTTAATGAAAGAGCTGAAAAATAACCTTTGCCGTAGGCTGTCCCATGAAGTCCACAGATCCTCCAGTCAAAGTTTTGCTGGCAGATGGCTTCAATGTATTTTTTGCTGGTCCCATGAAACAAAAATCGCTCATCCGCAGCCTTTCCACCATTGCTCTTCTGCATGTGTTCCTTCTGCCTGCAGTAAGAAGCAGTATCTTTGCAGTTCCACGTGCCTGTACCCAGGCAGGTTCCAGCCATACCAGCACTCAATTTTACACAAAGAGTACATTCTGAAAATCCTTATGTTAAGGCCTAAACTTTGGGCACACGGGGTTTCTTGAATCTAGCTGTGTACAAACGTGCTTTCATTATACACAAGTACCTCCAAATATTTAATAATAAAAATGGTTTGTTTCATTCACTGCCTATTGGGAGAGGGGGACAGATCTTAGCTTTTTCTTTTTTTTCCCCTGAACAAAGGAGTTCATGTTAAGGCTTTCCCTCAGTGAGTTTTGCATTTAATTTTGAAAGCTGTTTCAGTTTTGACCAGCTACAAAACAGTGGTTTTTCCAGCTGTAACTGATTACCAGCTTCAAGGCTTCAGTGGAAGGCAGCTGTCCCAGGCACAGGCCTGGCAGAAGTCACAACCACTTACTCGGGAGCAAGGATTCCTCCCACAGAACTCGTGACTATTCTATGCTCTATTTCTTGACTGAGTTTTGGTTTTATCAGTACCTCTTTATCTACATGTTGATCCTGGCTAGGTATTTCTGTTGGGGAGTGGAAGCAGACTCTTCAATGCAGCTGCATTTCAGGAATGCATGTGTCTAGCATACAGCTAACTGCAGAAACAACAAACTTCATGAACACGTACCAGAGCAGTATTTTACACATACCATTGATACAGTTCCCAGAGAGATGGGTTCTGAACTCTACAAATCCTTTTAATAACCGTTTTGGGCATTGTGCGTTGAAAGTCCACCTTGACTTTCTTGTATTCTTCAGAAGAACTGTCAAGCTCAATGAGCTGTAAGGAAAAGATTAAAAAGCTACTCTCATCTTTTAATAAATCATAACAAAGCCACCCTACTTAGTGCACTACTCAGACCTTTAAAGTCTTTTCTGTGAAGCAGAGGTAAGAGCAGCAAAAATACTCTTGGAAAAAAGGCAGATTAAAGGACCCTGCTCTGTAAAAGTGAGCTCTTACCTAGGAAACATTAACTCCCAGCATTTAAGACACACAGATTGCTCTCTCACAGAACATTAAAGGAGCTGCATGCAGCGACCTGGCCCCTTTTAATATTTGGGCCAAGATACATTTGTATGCATATATCAAACAGTACCTAAATACACAGAAATGAGCACATAAATAAAAAGAATGGAGAATTTATGTTGCAGCAAATCAAAGAGTATCTCTACACCCATGCTTTTTAAATCTTTATAGTTTATACTCCCTATAGCCAGTGAACACAAACTGCACTGCCTTTTACGTTTTTAAATACATTGAAAAGGCTTTATTCAACCAACCAACTTAGGCAAGAGGAGGGACACACTGCCAAAAATCAGTTCCTTACGTGACAGTCCTGAAAGCAAGCAAAGTTTTCTACTTGCATGTTTTCCCTAGGAACATCAAGAATGTCAGCATTAGCCTTCCCTATTTTTTATTGACAATTTCTTGAGGATTTGCATTTTGCAAGTTAGTAATTTTCAAGCTTCATATAAGATCTTTTCTGTAGGTATAATAACTAGATTTGACAGTGGTGGTTGTGGAGGCAGGCAGGAAGTCAGCAAAGGTGAACCATGCAGATAACAACTGTCTGTGTTACAAGGGTAAACAAGTTCACTCCACTGGAGTTATGGTACATTTTAATAAATGATCCCAGCCTGAACTTTACTGATTTCAGCAATGCTCCATAGACATACAATTGCCTACTTATACACAGCTCAGGGAATGGCTACCCTGAAGTTCAGAGGCATGATTTATCGCCGATGCTTCAGCACAGGTTGGACTTCAAAGCTATGTATCTTGGGCACCAGTAACAGTCTTGCCAACCAAGGAAAGGGATAAATAGTAGCAGTGAAAGTCAATGCTGCCATGGTTGTACTGCCACCATTTGTTAGTTTAAATTTGGGTCTAGTTTCACCTCTAGGTCTGCCCAGTGTAATATCAGGCTCAAATTTACCAACACCTGTGTACTATGTTACATAAGAAACAGTCATCTATGAAGGCACAAGAAACACTATTCTTGTGATGTAACAAACCTGCATGCAACAAAACTGATGGAGAGAAAAAACAAAAAGCTCCAAACCTTGAATCCCAGTTCAGGCAGGGCAGATTTGTCCCAGTGAGATGGAATGCTCCTAAACTCTTCTGTATGTTTAAAGCTCCTGTACGTTACAAGACATTATAAATAGGTAATTAAAACAAAACAAATCCCAACATTTTACGTACATACGATACTAAACATTTTTGCCAAGTTTAGGGAGAATATAGGCAACTGAACATATTCAGAAATATTTCAAAATTGTCTTTTCAGTTCAGTACATGAAAATATTCGTTCTAAATCATTATGTCAAGACTTATGGCAGGAAGCAAGGTGCCAAATGAGGGGAAAAAATTAGATATATACTGAATTAAACACGAAAGTAGTTCTCTTACTTGTAAAGAGCTGAATGTATACATAAAAAGCTCTGCTCTGCTGGGGTAGATAAATAAAACTACATCCAGTATCATAACAGTATGACAGAAACAGTATAGACACAGCCATCCTCTCTACTTCCACCCCAGTTTTAATTGGTGTGTTTAGCTGCTCTTTCTGTGTTGTTTAAGCAAGCACTGTGTGCTGCAAGGGAATGCATAAAAAAAGTTGGCTGTTACATGCAATTACATAAAACTTCTCCCCTTGCAGACTCCCACCTTTTGCTCCACCTGTAACAACTACTACTTTCCTCTCAGATTGTCTGGTTTTCTCAAAAGAATTGTTTCTAAACTTGTACTTAGCTTTAAACATTACTGATCTCAGATGTCAGAAAGGGCTAGTATGCATAAATGTTATTGCTTCAATCTGCATCAACTGCTGTAATAAGATAGCTTCCTCTGATCAGCAGCTCCCTACAACGTTGCTATGTGTTGAATTATTTTGTGTGCTTCCACACTTTCTGTGGCCAAGCCCAAACTTCCTTCATGCCCCAAGGCTCCCGAGTTGCTTGAAAACTGTTGGCAAGACTGCAATACTGCCCTGGCTAGACACTGCTGTAGGAAAGGTATGCCCCTTCCCCTCTCAATCTCTTTTACAATTGCCTTAACAGCTATTCCTTTGCCTTATTTACACCCTTGGAAGACACTGCATTCGCAATGCACTAAATCCATCACCTCAGAATAAGCAGTTGCAGTTTACCTTGCTTTTGTCTTTTCTACCTCTGTCTGAGAGACAAATTTAGGTCTTCTGCAAATCTGTCTCTCTGTCTTGTAGCGAAGGTTTTTCTGAATCATAGCTGGGGAAAAAAAAACAAACAACCAACCCTGAACAATCAGAAAGATGTTTTAGAAAGCCTTTACACTGCAGCAAAATCTGCCATTAAGTTGTTTTGTCAAAAATGTTGACAAAAAGGAACTGAGCTTTTTTTCTTGCTACACAAAGGGAAGTGTCCTGGTTTTGGCTAGGATAGAGTTAATTTTCTTCCTAGAAGTTGATACAGTGCTGTGTTTTGGATTTAGTACTAGAAGAAAGTTGATAACACACTTATGTTTTAGTTGTTGCTAAGCAGTGGTTACACTAGGCAATGACTTTCCAGCTTCCCACGCTCTGCCAGGTGCACAAGAAGCTGGAAGGGGGCACAGCCAGGACAGCTGACCCCAACTGGCCAAAGGGCTATCCCATACTATATGACATCATGCTCAGCATATAAAGGTGGGGGAAGAAAAAGAAAGTGGGGGAAGTTTGGGGCAATGGTATTTGTCTTCCCAAGTAACCATTACACATGATGGAGCCCTGCTTTCCTGGAGATGGCTGAGCACCTGCCTGCCCATGGGAAGCAGTGAATGAATTCCTTGCTTTGCTTTGCTTGCACACGCAGCTTTTGCTTTCCCTATTAAACTGTCTTTATATCAAGCCAGTTTTCTCATTTGTACTCTTCTGATTCTCTCCCCCACCCCAGTGTGGGGGGAGTGAGCAAGCGGCTGTGTGGGGCTGAGTTGCCAGCCAGGGTTAAACCACAACAGGAAGTCAGAGCAGGATGTGGAACCCACGGTCTACCTGTGGATTTCAGTTTCAGTTTTGCTCTTAACTTTACAAGGAATGACAGACACTGGTAGCCATTCTCCCTTCATTGTTCCATCAGCCACACTTAACCAAAAAAGATCATCGTAAAATAAGTATCTACTTCTACTCCATGGATTGCATCCCCTCCTTCTCAATTTGCAAGCAAGATACTGTTTTCCTACATGTAGTTGTAGATTTCAAACCCTTTAAATACAACCTAGCAGCTGTGACAGGCCATTCGTTTTTATTGACCACCAACAGAAACAAGTCATAGCAACCTGAATTTGACAGGCAGTCTTTCTGGATCTTAGAACCTCTGTACCTACTGCCACATCATACTAGCAACTAAGAGCCAGTAGCAGCCAGGAGAATGAGGCCTTGGCTTCAGAGAAACAAAAAACCCTCTTGGAACCACCAAGCCTAGAAACTAAGTTTTGGAAGATGTCTACATTGTGTATGCTTGCCTAAGTTATTAAAAAAGCCCAAACCTTAGAAAAGGGATTGATTTACTATTCAATTTTTCCTTCTAAGCCTGACAAGTTTCCCAGCCTATAGAGATTACGGCATTGCTTTCAATTGGATCACAAACGATGTATCACATGTCCTTTCTGCTTATTTTTTTTTTTTTTTCCCCCAAGCAGAATGAGATAGTAATGGAGAGCTTGATCAAAGGCAACTACACCAAAATGACAGTCTAGGCAGGCTGATTCCCACCACTGCTGTTCCCCGTGATTTTTTGAAAAGGATACCTGGAAAGGCAACAGCTCAGAGAGGACAGTGCCATCACAAATGGCTTAAATTTCCTGAACTCTTGGGAAATGTGCCTTTCTACTTTGACATAGTCAAGGCATTTCCTCAGCCTTTCCAAACAGGTAGAGCTATGAAAAGAAAATAGCTACTGTCCTGCTTTTGTCTGGGATAGAGTTAATTTTCTTCCTAGTAGCTGGCACAGTGCTGTGTTTTGGATTGAGCATGAGAATAATGTCATAACGCACTGATGTTTTAGTTGTTGCTAAGCAGTGTTTATACTAGTCAAGGACTTTTCAGCTTCCCATACTCTGTCAGCAAGGAGGTGCACAAGCAGCTGAGAGGGAGCATATCCAGGACAGCTGACCCAAACTGGACAAAGGAATATTCCATACCATATGACATCATGCTCAGTATATAAACTGGTAGGAAATCGGCCAGGGGAATAGGGATCACTGCTCAGGGACTGGCTGGGTGTCGGTCAACAGGTGGTGAGCAGTTGCATCACTTGTCTTCCCTGGGTTTGTTCCCCTCTCTCTCTTTTGTTGTTTTCCTTTTAATTAAATTTTTTATTATTATTATTTTATTTTATTTAAATTATTAAACTGTTCTTATCTCAACCCACAAGTTTTCTCACTTTTACCCTTCCAATTCTCTACCCCCTCCCACTGGGGGAGAGTGACCGAGCAGCTGTGTGGTGCTTAGTTGCTAGCTGGGGTTAAACCATGACACCTACATAAATCTTGCAACACTAAGGATTGTTTGGACTCTACACCTTGCCCAAGTATTCATTTTTCTGCAAGCCAGCAATTAAAGCAGACCAGAAGCTGGCTTGCCAAGTCTTCCAGAAGTTTCTCACTGTTTCTGTTGGTGCTAGCATCAATGGCAATGTTATATTTGGACTTGCTAGCAGACATTTTGAAACCTAGCACAAGAACTTCTCAAAAATAAAAGGCTTGGAATAGGAATGCCACTTTGCTTATGTAAACAGCTCTTGTCCTGAGAACTTTGATAGAAGCTCTGTCTCCGTAAGCACTGCAGTTCAAAGTTCAAATTTCTCTCTCCTACCTTCTGTAGTAATGTAGTTTTAAAACCACAAAAGACCTGGGTGGAAGGGAGGGACAAAACAAAAAAAAACCAAAGCAAATGGAACCTACCTCCAAAACTGAGTTCATACTCATGTCTTCCAGCTTTGAAATTCAGCTTTGGAGAACCTCTGGCTATATAAGCTTTCTCCAGGTCATCACTGGAGACAGAGGCAGCTGCATGAACATCATCCTGCCAGGACAAAACCAGAAAAAAAAAAAAAAAAGACTCTCCTGGTCTGTTATATACAAGCAAGTTTAAAAACCAGCAACTGTTATACTGGTGGCTGCAGTATGTATCAGCCTTTGTGCATGATAGTGGCTTTCAGGCAAAAGCCATGTATTAAGCAGTTGAAACCGCCCCTAAACCAAACAAAGCAGTATTACAAAGCCTGAACTTGCATTGCAAAGCGCATGTGGTGAACACTACTACTGAAACTGCACATTCACCAATTAGACCTTAGCAAAGATGCAGAGAGTAGTATTGGAACCTCAGAAAAGGAAGTTTTAGTCAGAAGCAATGAAAATAATGTATTAATGTGATCCTATCTGACATGACTCACTGACTCATCTCTCAACGATATTTGATTCACCAGTGAGCACTCCCTTACCTGAAACAATCAAATTTGCAGGGACAAGATCCCATTAGGCCTCTAAAGTCCATCTGTACAATATGAGTGAGAGGGAGGGAGGGAGAGGGTGACAGAACAGGGTGAGGATATAAACACTGTACTTTTCAGTAGTTCTGCACTTTTAACACAGAGTTGAGAGTCTCCCCATTTGACCACACTTACTTTTTTTCCGTACTCCTGCCACAGGCCATATTCATCTTTCCAGTACCAGATCCATTCTGTTGTAAGAATGAAATGAGGAGGTTTGGTCACAGAAGAGACTGTAGAAAGACGTCTAACCTTTGCAAACCCACAGCACATATTCAGAAAACATATACTTGGCAAGATGGAGCCACTTTCAGTAACACCATTATTAAATCTAAGAAAAAAAGGAGAAAAAAAAGAATCAGAACTGTTTTTCAAGCTTTACACATGGGTTCAAAACCACAAATCTGCAAATTAAGTCAACATCACTCAAAAGCAGAACACAAACCTGCAGTTTCCACAGCAATCCCAGCTCTCTCTTGTGTTTGTACATATCTTGCATTACAGTATTACATCTCACATTGGTTCCATGCGCAGTAACTCATAAATTAATGAGTTACACAAGACAAACAGAAGCAGTGGAAAATGTACATTGCTGCCTTCTTGCTAACCAACTATACTCTAAACAGAACACTGCCATAACTTAAGGATGGCTTCAAAGAGCCTCTAACGTAACATAAGAGGGTTAGGTAAATTCTCCAGCATGGGACAGAGCACACTGGTATGAGCCCCTTCCGATACCCTCTTCATGCTACATAGCCGGTTCCAAACTCTTAAAGGTATTTCCATATTCTTAACGGTTCTCTGCACCCAAGAGTACCTCTCTCTCTTGGTCACAGAAGAGACTGTAGAAAGACGTCTAACCTTTGCAAACCCACAGCACATATTGAGAAGGTACACAAGGTATTCTACCAGTTCCACAATACAGACTGGGGGAGAACAGGGTGGGAGGGGCAAATCTCATGCTACCTTTCCATCCCCCATCTCAAATGGTAAACGAGAAAGTTACTTTTAATCATGGGGTCAAGCTGTATATTGACAAGCTCTAACCAAAGACAGATTCCCACAAGTACTTGTGATAAAATCACCATTCTCTGCAGTTTTCCAGCCATTCTTAGTGAGGATTAAGACTTCCTATGGTAGCAGCAGTAGGAAGCATTTATACATTATTTCACAGCAAAGAATACTAGAGTCTATGGGTCGGTCACATAAAATAACTGTGGTGGATTGACCCTGGCCAGCAACCAAGTATCCACACAGCTGCTCGATCACTCCTCCTCCCCTCTTCTGCATGACAGAGGGTAGCAAATAGGAAGGACAAAAGCGAGGAAAGTTGTGGGTCAACATAAAGGCATAA